AAAAAAAAAAAAAAAAAGAAAAAATGAAAAAATGAAAAAAAAGAGAAAATGACGTCTTAATTATCGCATAGGTTAAAATAGGTAAGAAGTTAAGCATGTATATAGGTTACAAATTTGCTTAAATAATGGATAAGCATTGACGCTTTAGCTTTCTTGCTCTCTTGATGGAGGAGGAGCCAAGTCTTTTGAATACATTTTTTTACCAGCCATTTCCATAAACTCCATATCCTCGCTATAATTAAGCACGCCTTTACCATTCGTATCATCCTGTTCATCCTTTTCAATGGGCTTAATTAGCCAAGCTATTAATAGGATATTAACATAAAAAGTTGTAAATGTTTCTTATTTCTTTGGACTTTCCTTCAACTTTGTCAATTGTAAATGTATCATCTTTGGTTAGTTGTGGGCTCTTGAATGTTGAGCACGAGGGTCCTGCTCTAGAATGACCATTTAAAAAGTCAGCATCAACCCATAATCCACAATAATCGAACTGTCCACCCATTCCAAGTCCATTCGGAAGACTCTTTTTACCCCAACAGAGATACTGATAGTGATTGTTAACATCTTGTCCAAGCCATGCTCCATAGTTGGGTGATAGTTGAAACAAAAAATTAGAGATATTACCATACCAATTCGTCCTTTGATACTCCCAAGCTTCATCAGCATAACCCCCAAAGATCGACCCATCCTTTGATTTGATGACAATCAATGTAGCTCCTTGTCCCACTATTTTATTAACAAACACTTGCCAGCTGATACCGTCTCTTTTGGATGAATAAAGTAGTTGATGACTTATTCCTTTGGTGTCGCTAGATAGACAATGGGTAGGAACATGCTGCATCAACATAAAATAATCATAAGGAGATATCAATTCAGAGAAACTGGATAGTTGAGGAGATGCTAGATGTGCCAGTCGCCGTTGATGCAAGCTGTCTTTGTCCTTTTGTGTGCATCCTAAAAATGCATACTCTGCTATTAAATAAAACAAATTGAACATACAAGGTACATTTTTCAACCAATCCATAAATTCAATGTCACTCAAGGTCGATGGTGAACTTGTGCTCTTTGCTTTCCAATCGTCTTTGTCGTTCTCCTTTTTCAATTCTTTCTCTTCTTGTTCCTCAAAAAGCCAGTCAGTTGACCCACTCTTTTCTTTCTGTTCGATTGCATAATTCAGTAAATAATCAACTAGCCTTTTTGGGTCATGTTGATGGATATCCTTGATGATGACGTTTTGGCCTGCTTGTGAATACCAGAGAGGAATAGAGCTTGTCACTGTCCATAGAACGAATGTTTGGAGTGATATTTTGTGCTTTTTGACACATATTTGAAAGATATCATACATTTTCTGTGTGTTTTTTAATCTCAAGATGTCATATGCAGTTTGAAGGTAATCTAGACGTGTTCCTTCAGTTAATGAGTCAAAGAGTTCTTTAGAGTAGTATTCTGGTAATGTTTGTTTGTTCTCGACAAGCTGCTTTCGTTCTTCATTTGTCCACTTTGACAGTAATTCTTCTTCTTTTGTATTTTCTCGACTTGTATGATTTCCCATTAGAAAAAAGAACAAGACCTCCTTCAGTTCTACATTGACTATTATTTTACGTGACGGTTCATGCTTTGTATTACACAAATTTGTCTCTGCATTCAATCTTTACGGAAATAAAGTTGCACAAAGTGTGAACGAATGTCGCTTTGACGCACAAGATTATGATATCTTACTGATAAATATAAATATAATACATCAGCATTCTTCAATAGTTTTGAAGTTGAGTGATCTTTGGTCGATTTGCAATGTCTTCCAATCGACTTTCCCTCAACAAGTTCATATGTTGGAAACTATGAATAGATCTACACTCGTCTCGGCTTATTATGTAAGTCGGACCGGATCCGTTTCAAAATATACTTTTTTGGTCCAACATCTTGAAGTATTCACAGTTGTCTAAAGAAATATTAAAGTAATAAAAGCAAGTACAGACGTTTTCCCTTTAATATCCATTATTTATTCGCACTTTACAAAAGGAAATTAGTTTCAGACAATTTTAAAAAAAATAATAATTGCTCTTTTTACCTGTAAAATCTCTAAGCCAGCGCCCCATCAGAGTGAGACGTGGCAATCACATTGGAGGTGGCACTTTGTCGCTGGAACACATTGGGGTGATCATTGCCGTTCCATATGGATTCAGCAATGGTAAACATGTTCTTAGCGACCATTACATCACGATTCCAAAAAACATTATATCTTTTACAAATTAATACTTGATGAATCTAGCACTCATCTTCGCTGCTTCCACATCTGAGATTTTGCAAGTTGCTCTCCAAGCAGCTGTTACATGTCTATAGAAAAAGTGATGTTTTATTATACGGCTATCGATATTAAATGAATGTTGTTTTTGTATACCTTCGAGGTATTATATTCGTTTCTATCTAGGAGGAGAAGCTCCCCTAACCTCTCATGTCGTTGAAGCTGTTTGTACAACTTGTCAGAAACACCACACCGAAGACCTTTGAACTTGACATGACTCTTACTTTTAAGGCCACTGCCAAATACAACTAAAGGCATTCTAGTCCGGTCACCTTCCTCATATTTTTCCTTGTGTTTCCTTTCGGAAAAAAAAAAAGCTTTTAGAAGAACAATAATACGAAGTATTCATGAATATGCGTAATACCTTGATATCTGTCCCTTGATTTGTAAGGACACAAGGAGGATTGCTTTGATGTCTTTTCGTCTTGTTTCTTTTCCTCTTATTTCTTTTTCTTTTGTTATATCTTCTTGGTCCATTAATGAGGATGTTGACAACATTCTCAACCGCGTACTGGCCACCAGTATAGTTATACCATCTAGTCCTTGCAGTTTCAAAACTGTAAAAATTCAGCAAGGCATCCATATGCTGAAACACATAAGTTATATGCATTATATAATGATCAATGCGTGTGGTTTTTGAGGGAGGTATACGCGTTTCAATTTGCTCTACGTTCGACCTTTTTTGGCGGTTTAGATTTTTCTATAGGCTTCTACATGTTTCTACAAATATATACACAAATTTTTATTGAAACTTCCCCCAAAAATTTCCTATAGACTTTCATATTTTTGCTGTTTTTTAGCTTGTATGAAAGCTTCAACATTTGGATGAATCGGTATACGCATACCTTTAAAAATAAATAAAGAAAAAACGACATTAATAATATTGTTGCTAATTCAAAAGTGTGATTAATTTTCATAAAGTATCCAATAGCAGGCAGAGTTTAACTCAAGAGCGTGATTAATTGAGCTGATATGGGAGGTATCATATACCCTAATATAATCTACAGAAATATCTAAAATCATAACCAATATTTAATCAAGACTTAAGAAACGCGTAATTATCATTCTTTCTTGTGCATCTATTTTTTTTTTTATTTCGCGTATTTGACAACATTCAGTGCAAACTTTACACAATTATGACCCAGTTCAGTAACATCGAACACCCTGCCGACACTTCCAGTGACGCCACAATACCGAAGTGGCTCTTTGTCGCGACAAAAAGTACAATAGAATAAACACTGAGATGAGGAAACTCATTATTGGTGAATGAAGGCCAAAATTGGTGAAACTCTCAACTTGTCTGAAACTGATTTCCTTTTGTATCTGAATCTCCTTTTTACAGTCTTTTCAAAAAGTAAAGCCGCATTTTTGCAGTTTTTATAGTATAGTTTATACGAAAAAGCGACAAGTCAGCGCGACATCTCTTTCTAGAAATCGTGTATATAATTAAATAAAATTTTCATTGTATTCCCTTTATACCTTTCAAAGCCGCGCATCGTGGAACCATTATGTCAGATATCACAAATGAAGTGCTTACAGCTGAAGAGATTAGAGAATTGCGAGAAATCCGTGAGAGATTCAGAAATCAAGATCTCAGAGACGAACAATTAGAATTACCAGAAGATATTCAGCTCGATTTGGAAGCCTCTTCCAAAATACAGCTTAAGAACAAACTCAAACAATACGTCAGAGAAATAATTGAGTTCGAAGGCGGTAAATGGACACAAACAGGGACGATCAACAAAGTTTATCTCCTAGAACTCAAGAAATACCAGGTGAATGCTGCACAAATGGTATCTGCAATCGGCAAAGGAGCTGATCGACTATGAACAGCCGGACGAGGAGCATCAGAACTGTACAACGAACTCCAATATGTCTTCGAAGAAAGTGCAGACGAGCAGACCATGTCAACGATCCTGGAGAAGGCTAGGAGGCTTGCAGTGTACTGTCTCGCAACAGGAAAAGAACTGGATAGAGATTTCAAAGGCCAATCAACAAAGACGCTTCGCCTCCCAGACCGCCTCAAGTATCTCAAGGATGACGACGAAGACTGCAACAAAGACCTTTTTTTCTCTCCTGAAGTTATTGAAAAGATTCAAAAGACTAGATTTGTAGAGCCCGTCGTCAAGCGATCTAGATATTCATCAACACCCCATGTTGGATTTAATGGTAGAGGACATTTCAATGGAGGCAATTTCAGAGAAAGATCAAGCGAATGAGGGGGGGTTTTTTTTGGGAGGAGAAGAGGCAGGGGTGCCCCATACCCAGCAAAGCTCAACCCCAGTGAGGCAGGCTCGGTCCAGTTCATTGGAACCTGTCAAATTAAAAAATCAGAAAACAAGGAAAACAATAGAAAATCAGATAAAACCAAAAACAATAGAAACTCTGAAATGCCCACAAAAAAAAACACATTACATTATTCCAGAGGATGGGATCCCACCAGGCAGTCGTCTACAAAATTTTTACACAATTGAAAACGATTGACGAAGCACCGATAGCCCTTGTACATTATCAGCGAAGGCTATCGAATCCAGCTTCAAACAAAACCAGTCCCTTGGAAGACCAAGAAGTTTAACTTGTTGGCAGAAGATCAAACGGCAGTAGGTTCAGTAATACAGTCGTTTCTAGCTGCGCAGGCTATAAAGAAATCGCTAACCCAGGGCGCACGATTTCTGTCCAATTTCTTTACCATCATGAAAGCAACAAAGGTTCGACTGATTCTCGACTGCCGTCAAATAAACAAATATGTGCAATACAATCACTCCAAGATGAAAGGTGTTCCTGCATTGAGAGAATTGATAGAGATCAACAACTTCGTACGCAAGATAGATTCGAAGGATGCTTATATAGTTGTGTCCATTCATCCGGAGTCAAGGAAGTTTCTCTCGTTTCAACATTAGGACACCACATGCCAATATCGGCCTCTGGCCTTTGGACTGAGTGTAGCACCCCGAGTGTTCTCAAAGTCGACGAGATTTGCGCTGGAGCCGTTGAGAGAAAAAGGCATACGATTGGTTTATTACCTAGATGATATATGTCTGTTAGCACAAACCAAGGAGGAGATGAAGAGGAATTCAAGGGAAGCACTGCACCAGCTAACTTCGTTGGGGTTTATAGTCAATCATCAGAAGAGCGAGTTGGAATCAAAATATGTGCAAGAATTCCTAGGGTTTACCTTCAACAGCAAGCAAATGCAGATCAGTGTGCCACAGAAGAAGATATCCAAACTGATGTTAAGGATTAAACAACTATTCAAAGAACTGGAAATAAACTGCTCTTGTCGTTGGATAGCAAGTCTTTTGGAGGATATTACAGCAGTAATTCCAGCCATTGGGGAAGTATTGCTGAGAATCCGATTCCTACACCGAGATTTAGCGATGAATTTAAGGAGACAGCAATACAACTGGGAGAAGCCATGTCCATTATCTACTCAAAGCTGGAACGAACTACAATGGTGAACCAACAACGTATAGCTCTCAAACGGTCTGCCAATAAAGATCGATACAGGCATCAGAGAACCGGATATCAGTATCCACGTAGACGCCTTCGATTCAGGGCGGAGTATAGCACCAAAAGAAGCCGAAAAACACGGGTTTTGGTCAGGGGTCAAAAGCAGCACTTTGATCAATGCGAGAGAACTGAAGACGATCTTATTTGCTCTTCAGCTACACGCGTGAAAATTCCAAAACTCATTGATACACGTATATGCCGACAACACGACAGCACTCAAACATGCAAAGAAGTCTGGGGGAACAGCATCCGCGTTGCTTCAGACGTTAAGCTTGGAAATACAACAAGTCATCACGATCAACCAACTGATGATAAGATACTTTCATATACAGGGAGTGAAGAATGTTCGAGCGGACTACTTCAGCAGAAAGAAGAAACCACTATACGAATGGACTCTTCCAAGACGGTTCTTCCAAATGATTCAACAACATTGGGGTAGAATGACGATAGATGCGTTTACGACCAGGGAGAACAAACAACTGGCGACGTTCTGGAGTTTCCAGCCGGATCCTCAAGCTCAAGCAACAAATGCCTTCCGACAAGAATGGTCGAAGAAGGGACTATATCTTCATCCCCCATGGAAGCTAATACCGAGAGTCATAAGGAAGTTACAAGCAGACAGGGTTACAAAGGCAATGATGATCACCCCAGCATGGAGAAGCCAACATTGGTGCCCAATGGTTATGCGTCAGAGTATAAACAAGCCAATAAAGATCCAATTGAACAAGGCATGGTCGGTGACCGCATGGCTATTATCAGGGCGTTCCAAGCAAATAGCGGTGTCAGTGATTCAGTAGTCGAATTTTTAAAAGAATCCAACCGGCCATCTACAAGAAAGAACTACGGCCAAGTCTGGGCACGCTGGTCAGCATGATGTGAATCGCAGAATCCTCAGTATAATCCAATAGAATATAGTCCCGAACATTCGATAGAATACTTAACATATAAGAAGACGCCTTCCTACTCTTCATTAAACATTATACGTTCAGCAGTAGTACCCGTTTATAGGGTGATTCGTTCACATAGATCACCTAGCTTCCAACTAACTGGTCATACAGTACTTTGAAGCTAGGAGAAGGAAGGAAGAGAAATTGCCAAGCAGCACGCAAGAAATTTATGATGCCAGAGTACTGATGCAAACAGCATTGTCATGGGAATCGACATCGGAATTGAGCATAGACAAGTTACAGCTAAAGACGCTAACCCTGTTAACCATCGCGACTATGTGGAGACCAAGATCAGATATTGGCACATTACAGTTTAGGGACGTCAAGTTCCAGATGAAAGAAGGTGTTGAAGGTGAGCCATTGGGTGTAACTTTAACAGCAAGGAACCCAAAGGAACTACGACCAAAACAATCGAAAATAGTGTGATTGAAAAGAAGGGGGCTTGTCCGGTGCACATACTTTGGACATTCTATTTATTCACCAAAGATCACTGAAGTCATCTATCGCAAGACCACACACTTTTCTTAACTAATATGGCACAAAACAATCCAAATACATGGCAGTCGGTTAAACCAGCTGCAGTTGCTTCCTGGCTGAAAGGGATTATGGAGGAAGCCGGCATAGACACAGATAGGTTCACCGTCCACTCGATTCGGTCAGCTTCAAGTGCCAAGGCTGTTACAATGGGATCAGAGATCGATTAGGTAAAGATGCATGCAAACTGGAGTCTCAGGTCAAGTACTTTCGAAAATTACTATTACAAGCCGCATGACCAACACAAGCGAGGACGAGAAATGGCCAACAAGCTTTTTGGTGATGTTACCAAAAACAGAATCACATCCGAAGTCGGAATGGAGCCAACAACGATTGTTGTAGGAACGACCGGAAATAGTAACGTTGGCGAAATGAAGACAAAGGATATGGTTACCTGTCCAAGTTTTTTCAGTTGGCTAATGAAATGCAAGTAAAAAGAAATTCCCGCCCTTTATGCCTTCAAATCACAGAAATCTTGAGCGCGACCTTCAAGGTATAAAGGGAATACAATAAAAATTTTATTTAATTATATATAATACCGAAAATAAAGCGTGATCCGGAGGGCTATAACCACATCCTTTGTCTTCGTTTCGCCAACGTTACTATTTCTGATGCTCCTCTTGGCTTCCCTCTTTTTGAAGGTATGCTTTCCAATTATCCGAAATAGTTGGCTTATCTCCAGCCTCGTTCAATTGATCGAAGTTCCTTTTTGGGGGAAGAAGAGGAAGATGACACATTAATAGTGTCTTATCAAATACAATTTCTATTCAATAACTTTATTGTACGTGTTGATTTAGCAATCTATCACATTATAGATATCCTCATAGTTGCTACCATGGAGAATTATTGGTTTATGTTGATATGCTTTATACTCTGAGGTTAGAATTAAACTCCTCAGCTCACTTTCGCGTAGCTACTGCAAATACAAACTTGATACAAATTCAGAAAAAAAAAAAAAAGGTATATCCGTTGACCATTTGCCAGCCTGCCAATGTACTTCTTGATTTCTTCTGGCAAAGCTTGTTCTTGCAGTCAAGTTAAATCACTGTGAAAGTCCCTGTAGATGCTTTTGATGTCTTTTAACGTAGTTTTCACTATAAGATATTCTTGGCTGTGGAGCTTCAATTAATTTTTAGTGGCTGTAGGTCAGCAAAACAGAAGATAATGATGTTGCGTTTATTCGTCTAATTCATTCTATCCTTTATATTATATTGGCTAAAACATATGCTCACTCTACCATATCACTCGCTCATATTTATAGTTTTAGTAGTATTAAATGCATCTTTTAAAAGATCAATGATAGCTTTGGTTTTAGTGTATATCTATTGATTCAGTATTGAAAAAAAAAAGAAAAAGAAAAAGGAAGGAAGGTATAAACAAGGCCAAATTGTTCACATTCATATTGACCTTCATACTGTTCGCCTTCTTCTTCCGCAGTAATAGCTCGTTGCTGTTTAAAAACTCGATTTACCTATAAAGATATGTGCTTAGTCGGTTATATTTTTAATAAAAAAATATATTAAAATTACCTTTATCATCGCTAAGTCTTTTTCCAAGCAGCTACTTCTGAGGATCATCAACAGTGAGGTCAAAGCTTGCATTGAAGTCAAATGTGAATTTTTCGTCTACAATTGATGTGCTATAAAAATGCATGTTAGTGAATATATAACATATATAACGTCAAATGTCTATAATACTTACCTCATCGCTTCAGAAATCACCAGCCGCGATCTATTTAATGAGTCTTGGACTATTTCAGCTACATCATTATCTAAAAAAGGTCAGTGTTAGTAAATAAGTTATGTGCGAAAATCTGTATGATTATTCCTTTGTCAGTACCACTGGTAGCTTGCTTCTTGTTTCGTCGACGGAAAGAAGACCAGTAATGGTCGAGGAGTATGTTTGCTCCCCAAGAGCCAACCCAAGCACGAAGGGAAATATAAGGCAATGTCTTAGCTTCCAGCTCTTGAATGGCATCAAGCCGGGCATCATCAGCGACACTTCGCCGGGTGCTGTCTTTCTTGATGGCAAATTTTCTTTTTATACCATCAATGACAGTTTTGACAAGGGTTGATGAGACATTCACCTTGCAAGTATCAAGCATTTCATCGTTAATCTTCTCGTATTCAGGACCACGTACCTCATCAATGATCTACCGAAAATGCTTCCAGGAAAAGGAAGTAGGGTGATCTTTACGACCAGAGCATGCATCTCTTGCTCTAGGCTCGGGGATGTTGCGGCCAGGGAACAAGTGAGCTGCGAAAAGCTCAGTGGTAGCAGCAACCTCAATGGAGTCTTAGGCACTTGGTATGCTGTCCAACCAGACTTTCAGTGTACCAACTTCTTCTGTGAGCACAGTAGCTTGCTGCTTAAGGAGAATTACTGCTTCTTTCAAATTCTTGGTTTCTTCCAACATTGCTTCAAAATTGCTGCACATATCATTAAATCCATAGTTAACACTAGTAGTCAGCTGTTGGATCTTGAAGACAGCATTTTCCAAAGTAGGCTTTAATGTAGAAGTAGCAGTAGGGGATATTTTAAAGAAAAAGAAGACCAGGGTAAAAAGCTTTTTGTTTATAAAATGGTTAATCATTTCCAATATAGATCTTTAATGGCCAGCAATATTGATCACCAAAAAAGATGTTTTACTGGTCTACCACTACGCAATTATTGGACATTGAGTTTTTCGGGAGAAAGTTTCCCATAGTGCTTATTGGATTGCTTACGAGCGCATTCCAAACACTTGTTGAAGCTCCATTCATTTAATGTAGTCTTGAAGAAAGGTTTGTTGTGATATCGTCGATTAACAAATTGTCTTAACTTGGGAACAGAAGAATACAACAAGACGAAATAAGCTCTTTGAAGTCATTTATAAACAAAGAAAAGAAGGAGATTCATGGCAAAAGGGGAAATTGATCCTTTATATGTAAGAATAAATGCTGTCAATCAATTACATCTTGTGGGTTATATTATATGACGCACCATCAGCTACTATAGACTATAGATGCCATGAGTCAATGTTGTGGGCTTAGTAATAATATTTTGGATTGTGTACGACATATATTGATTATATGATGTCAAAGGGTGTAATCCTCTTCGATATAAACGGAGAAATACGGCATTTGCTACATTCAGCTTCGAAAGTAAGCTTGAAATCGCGAATAGATTCAGGAATACCCAACATAATAAAGTGAAAAGGTTATTGTTTATTGAGGCTATCAAGTTTTTTATTTATGCCCCTTTTTTTATTCAATTGTCGCGAGAGGGCATACAGGAGTAGGTATTCTCCGCATGAACTTGTGGAATTTGCAGTGGCACTCTTGTGGCGGCTTCACCAAGCCGGAAATGTGGCCCTCAAAAATGTAGCATCAGTGGCATCACCAGATAGTTAAGATGGTGTATTCAATGAATGTTTGACTGTCGACTTGCAGATCAGTGTGTACTCACAAGGAAGGATTAGACTCGCAACGAGAGGACCGTAGAGAAAAAGCCGAAGACGTAAGGAGAAAAACAATTTATTTACCAATTGAGTAATGTGTCTGAACATAGAGATTCAATTAAACCAAAAAATACGTCTGTATGTTCAATCAGTTATTCTAGACATGATTCTATTTACTAATGGTCTGACCATTATCATTGGCGTATTCAGCGGCTCTCCTTGCGTTTCAAGTGTTACTGATTCTCATCACAATACAAACAACCGCTTATAGGGGACATCATCCTGAAGTGCATTATTTTTATATGGAAAATAAAATATGGCTCAGAGAGAGCGTGTATCTGTTTTTTTTTGAGACACTATTTATCAGCCGCGCTGTATCAGTGATATTTTTTTTCTATTTTAAAGTCATGACATTAACCAAACGCCTTCATGATGGCAATGAAATACCAGTTCTCGGCTGTAATTGTTAGAATCTAAGCCATCATATTATTTTGACATTACAATTAGTAGGAACTTACCGTATGCGATCAGAAGAAGAACTCCGGCCAGTCATTACTGAAGCGATTCGTTGTGGATATCGGTTAATTGGTGATGTTGACTTGTAGTCTACATAACAAAGCACTAATCTTTATATAGATTCGGCAACAGTCTATAAGAATGAGGAAGTATTGGGAAAAATCTTGAAAGACATTTTTACAGATCCTTCTTTTGGTATACAACGCAAAGACCTGTTTATAACGTCTAAGCTATGTATGTTAAAGTGATGTTTCATAAGATAAATGTAAGCTAAACTCGAAGAGGATGATTAGCGCCTCAAGATCAAGGATATGACAACTGCTACAAAGGTTTTCATACGAAATGCATATAATAAAGTCTGTTGCTAACTTTGCTGCTTCTTTTAGCTGTAAACAAGTCTCTTGAACGATTTGGCTTAGATTATTTTGACCTTTATTTGATACACTGGCCAGGGTAAAGAAGAAGAAAAAACAAATGAATAATTGAAATAATCATGGGAACGTATATTGCAGCACTGCAAAAAAGCAATTAAGTGACCCTATCAATTCCGAAAATCGTATGGGCAGTTATAGAGCACTAGAACAATTATATAAAGAAGGGAAATTGAAACAAATAGGCATATCTAATTACACTGTGAAGCACTTAAGCGAACTATTGCAAAAGTGTGAAATCGTGCCTCACGTACATCAATTTGAACTTCATCCATATCTTTATCAAACTGAATTACTTAACTTATGCCAGCAACACAACATTCAAGTGCAAGCTTATTCTAGTTTAGGCGAAGGAAAGCTTGTCAATGGTGAAATCAAAATAGACTGCCTAAACGATATTGCTCAAAGGCTACGAACCACACCAGCTGTTGTGCTCCTACGTTGGGCGGTGGACCATGGCTGGCTGATTATTCCAAAAAGCAAAACTCCTACAAGAGTAAAAGAAAATGCATCTGTATTAGATGTCCAACTTTCAGATGAAGTAATGTATTAAGGCTCTAATAAGCCAATTTAATATATGTATATAACATGCTTATACATAGGACATAAAGCTACTGGACGATATTCATAATGCAAAAACTCGTAGATTTTGTTGGGATCCTACCAATGTCTATTAATATATTAATTAGCTATCGATTGAATTCTTGTTAAAGATTTACAATATAGTGCTAGTCTTATATTCTTGAAGAGAAGTTTTATGATACGCAAAAAGAAATACAAAAGAGCTTTATTGATCAAGTATTGTTATGTCTTTAAAAGATAGCCAGTCTTTTGTTGTTGTGTTGAGATTGTTTAGTTATTGTAGTTACATTATTGATGGCCATTCCTTTTCTTTATTAAGCAAATATACGAACTGTAGGATGCAGATATTATTTCTAGTATTTTTGTTCATTATTGATATTCTTTACATTTAACACACAAGTATTCACATTGATGTTGCTACTTTTTTTCTGGCAACCTTTACGGTCAGCCTCCCAAGCTTGCCATGTTTTCAACGTAATTCGTTTAGAATCAAATTTGCCGCTTCCATCTCCATGCCCTTGGTTTGTCTTCTCTCCCCTAACTACGCGCGTTGCTCCCCATGAAAAATCATCAAAATGCCAGAATGAGTACAGGGGGAGTAGCATATTCCAAATAGGTAAGGCACAAATGTAGACTGTATTCAAATTAGTATATAACAACTTAGGAAAGAAAAAACTTACTTATTAACCATCCAATATATGCCACTTTGAATGTTGTCATAGCTATTAACACAGCAGGTAAAAACAAAATAGCTAGCAATAGGCCTAGTGATTGCCATTCAGGATTGGTAGATGTTGCTGCTTGAATAATCAAATAAATCGACATAACAATGGCTGCCGGTAGAACCAATGTACCAATGAGATCCACAAATACTGAAAATTGCATTGACAGACATGCAATTCCACACAAGTCCGAGACAAGAACTAGCTCCATTAGGTTATGCACAGTTGAATTGATCCATCGTCGACGTTGGGATAGAAGAACGCCTAATGTGTCAGGAACTACTGTTCGACAACGTGCCTGTGGCACAAACATCATTTGCCGCTTAGGAAATGTGCGTATCATCAATGTGGATAAAAATCGATCTTCTCCCAACAGTAGCAAGTTTTTTTCATGTAATGTTCTTACTATACTCTGATTATATTCGAGTACAATATCTGGGTTGGCAAGAATAGGTACCCAACCACCATGCTTAGGTGCCTTGATACGATACATGCTAAAGCATCCTGGGAGACAAGTAACCATACCGAACAGAGATTCAAATGCCTTGGCATAATGATGCGAAATATAGTATTCAAAGACTTGAATTGCTGTTACCCATGTCTCACTCTTGTTGGCAATCCTTGTCTCACCACAGAGTCCCATAATTGTGATATCGTTTGCCATAGCTGCAACCATGTATGTTAAAGCATCTGGTAATACTTTTGTGTCAGCATCTACCATTAATACAGTTTCAAATTTATCAGGTGTAACGCCCTTCATGAGCCATGTCATCTTCCAAAAAATTTCATAATCCAGTTCAGTCAATCGATCATTAAGTAAAACACGCTGAAAGAACGACATAAGGATGACTTGAGAATCGCGTTTACCTCGATTGCCTGCCTTGGGCCCCTGTTGCTCTTCTTCTGTTCCACATTTGATAACGGCAATACAAGGTACACCATTGTAGTGCCCAGCATACTATGAACAGATATCAGACTTTAGCTTACCATTCTTTACATTGTCAATGCCATTTACCACTTTGGCCATATTAAGTTGCTTTTCTCCTGTGGCTACAGCAATATAAGAGCATGGTTTTGGATTATCCATGGAAGTATCAATATCTAGCATGTCGACAAGAATATCAGGTGTTGACCTCTCTTCCCCAGCTCCTGTGATCAATCCATCTGCAATTACAAAAAATATCTAAAAAGTTTATCTTAGTCTTTTTCTCTCTTTATGCTTTCGTATGCACATAATTTACTTTATGATCTTTAGAATAGGCCGTGTTTGACAAACTGTCCATGGTCGTCCTAAGTCCTTCTTCTCCCTCAGAATAACAAGTGACCAGCATGACTGTATACAGTGCTATATTTACTATATCACATCTAGTATTGTTTAATCGTCGATTTGACACACTTTCATTAGATCCGTGGCTGCTATACTCATACACTGACGTATGGCTTGGATGATTAATGGGGTTATCGTTTCCTCCGCGTACGGACCGCCACGCCAGAAACCAGTTAGAGCGGCCTCCAGGTGTGATTAGACGACGGGCAATAAACCATTGAAATAAAAGCGCCATACTGTATTTGATTACAATGATAACCATAATGACAGCAAACATGGCGTTCATAATAATTTCATTTGCAATACATCCACCGAATTCTCTTGTAGCAACGCCAACTTTGAATCTGGCAACAAGACAAGGAAGAATCTTTTTGCTTTGGTTTGTATAGGACAAAGCATAAGTAATGTCGTTACCTTGGGAGTTTTTGATTATTTGATTGATTATAAAAGATTCAGAGTCAACGTAATGAGCTGGATCGAGTACATCATTACCAACCATGACAAGGTTGTTTTGTTGAATATCTTCCCATTCAAAGCTTACATACTTTGAACTCTTGTGATACTTTTGAAATTCTTTCAATGAGATACATGTTCCATTTTTTGGAATCAGGTCCGAACCTATTATCTTATATTCAGTTCTCTTCTGTGCACGATAACTACTGTAGCTATACCTTGAGCATTAGTCACGGCACATGGTGTCATTCTAGCATACTTGGACTGCAAACAATCTGCTTGCGTATCAATGTTAAATAATGGTCCTATCTCCATCCCTTTAAAATCGTCTGTTAAATTTATCCCTTGAGTTTTCATGAATTGCTGAGCAATGTTCAATGGAAACAATTGACCAAATACTGTAACATCTGATCTTTCTACTGGTTTCCTTATGCCATTAATAATATCTGAGTATGGATATCCTTCTTTGCCTGGAGGGCATATATTTGTATGCAGGCCATAGATTATATAAGCCAGTACACCGCACAGTAGAGCAACTAAATAACACAGGGCCATCTAATACATCAATTGAATGTCAAGGTATTTATAAAGATAATTCTAATTTCAAACCTTTTCACGCCAAGCCTGTTGCATATCTCTATCTGCTTTACCAAACCATTTTCGCATGATACAGGGCAGGAAACAGCAAGTGGACAAGTAAGCTAACCAAGCCCACCAATTATCAAGTACCTTGGGTTCCTTTGATATCTTTTCTGGACTTTTCTGGGAATTTTGCCGAGCTTTTCTCTTCCCTTCTAATTGATGCTGTAAGTTAAGTGGCATTTCCCGTGTTATCATGGTTGACCGTTGCCTTTGGCGTTCAGGCCTAGATAAAGATTTAGATCTCCCAATCTGATGGGAGTTTGTCATCCTTTATTTTGTGTAATGGTAGGACAAAAAGGGGAAAGGGGGAGGGAAATAGAGAGGGAGTACAAGAACCCAAAAGAAAATTTTGTTCAGCCAATAAAATTAAGCCGCCCAATCAAAGCCACCAGATTATTTACAAGCACAAATTTCGTTGTCATGTTTATTTATCAATGCTTTACGATAAGAATAATTTTATTTGATAATAATTTTTAATGACCAATGAGCACATAGCATCTTCATGCTGTACTGCCCGGGCCAGATCGAAATGAGATGGAATAAATAACCCTTTTAGGATTAAAGGGAAAATGTAAAAGTATTATGTATTAGGGATGATAGTTAACTATCTGAAAATTTTTGCTGAATGTAACGAAGACGTTTGACAAAGGGTTCACCAAGATGGTTTGAAGCTTCAGGAAACTGAGAGTGAGCTAATTAGTCCATTTCGAGTAATATAGCACATATGGAAGGCCAACGAATGAGCCAGGCATCGATTGATTTTCTCGCTTTTTTGGTAAGGAATATTGGTGGTAAGAGGTTCAAAAGATAGGAAAGTGGATCGTCAATAGATTTGGGCATCTGAGGGCGGTTGTGCATATCTAAACAAGAAAAACTATGCTGACGTGAAAAAAGTTCATTTGGATGAAAGGGACAGACTTGGAATTTACCAAGAGGTAACCAACCAAGTCGCCATCGCACGCAACGAGACCGTTCACTTCTTGTCATTGGTATCCGAAGAATAGGGCCGACAATTAGATCATTACGGCAGTGGGACAGAAGTTTAGAATGTTTTTCTTGGAGCTACGAACGGTGGTTGTCAATCAAAAACTGTTCTCGTTTTCTAATAAAGTTACTATGAGACATAGTTTCAAGATATTCATTGCTGAATGATGTCCATAGAGGTGATTTGGATAGTTGGGACCATTTCGAGATACGCTGTGATTGTATGTATGGTAGCAATTTTGTTAATAATGCGTCGTCAGGTAGGAAGGAGGTTCTGAAAAGAAATTGTGTCTGAAGTATGGAAATACGATCCTTCATGTTTGGTAAATTTGTTAAGTGTAGCATTACCATATCAGTGCTTTACTTGAAATTCAGACGATGTTAGTTTTTTTTTTTTTGGGCGAATCAAAATTAACCTTTAGATGTTTGCTTACCTGTTTTGGACGAAATAAAAAAGGAAATTCAGATACAAAAGAGCGTTATTTTTCAGACAATTTTGAAAATAATAGCTGCTCTTTTTACCTGTAAAACCTTTAAGCCAGCGCCTCACCGGAGTGGGACGAGGCAACCACATTGGAAGTGGCGATTTGCTTTTTGAAGATACTAGGTCGACCTTGACCATTCCAGATAGTATGTGCAGTGAGAAGCATGTTCTTGGAGGCCATTACATCCCGATTCCAAAAAATATTGCAAGTGTTGCACTTCAATACTTGATGGATTTTTCTGATATCATCACCTTCTCCACACTTCAGATTCTGTAGGTCTTGATTTAAGCAGGAGTTGCAGGTCTATAAAGATATTGTTTAGAATGTATGATCTATGATCATTGTTATACTAACCTTGGAGGTTTTGTATTCATTGATATCAAGAAGTAACAACTCTCCAAGTCCCTCTCTGTGCTTTAATTGCCTGTATACTCTTTCTGATACACCGTGCCTTAAGCTTTTAAACTTTACATGACTCTTATTTTTAAGGCCACTGCCAAATACAACTAAAGGCATTCTAGTCCGGTCACCTTCCTCATATTTTTCCTTGTGTTTCCTTTCGGAAAAAAAAAAAGCTTTTAGAAGAACAATAATACGAAGTATTCATGAATATGCGTAATACCTTGATATCTGTCCCTTGATTTGTAAGGACACAAGGAGGATTGCTTTGATGTCTTTTCGTCTTGTTTCTTTTCCTCTTATTTCTTTTTCTTTTGTTATATCTTCTTGGTCCATTAATGAGGATGTTGACAACATTCTCAACCGCGTACTGGCCACCAGTATAGTTATACCATCTAGTCCTTGCAGTTTCAAAACTGTAAAAATTCAGCAAGGCATCCATATGCTGAAACACATAAGTTATATGCATTATATAATGATCAATGCGTGTGGTTTTTGAGGGAGGTATACGCGTTTCAATTTGCTCTACGTTCGACCTTTTTTGGCGGTTTAGATTTTTCTATAGGCTTCTACATGTTTCTACAAATATATACACAAATTTTTATTGAAACTTCCCCCAAAAATTTCCTATAGACTTTCATATTTTTGCTGTTTTTTAGCTTGTATGAAAGCTTCAACATTTGGATGAATCGGTATACGCATACCTTTAAAAATAAATAAAGAAAAAACGACATTAATAATATTGTTGCTAATTCAAAAGTGTGATTAATTTTCATAAAGTATCCAATAGCAGGCAGAGTTTAACTCAAGAGCGTGATTAATTGAGCTGATATGGGAGGTATCATATACCCTAATATAATCTACAGAAATATCTAAAATCATAACCAATATTTAATCAAGACTTAAGAAACGCGTAATTATCATTCTTTCTTGTGCATCTATTTTTTTTTTTATTTCGCGTATTTGACAACATTCAGTGCAAACTTTACACAATTATGACCCAGTTCAGTAACATCGAACACCCTGCCGACACTTCCAGTGACGCCCACAATACCGAAGTGGCTCTTTGTCGCGACAAAAAGTACAATAGAATAAACACTGAGATGAGGAAACTCATTGTTGGAAAGTCCGTTACCAATGGTAGCATGTCCAAAACAGCTGCCTCTCGTCTGTTCAAACTTCCTTGATCAACTATTGATAAAGTTGATGTTTATGAAATCAAAATTGAACACAATTGTCAAGGTGAACGAAGATCAAAATTGGTGAAACTCTAGAAGTATTCAACTTGTCTGAAACTAATTTCCTTTTTTATTTCATCCAAAAAAGGTAAGGCAAATATCTGAAAATTAATTTTATTCATCCGAAAAAACTAGCATTGTCTGAATTTGAAGTATAAAAGAAACTGAGTAATTGGTATAAAACCTTGACCAGCCAATCATAATGCCCACATAATCCTGTCAAAAAAGAAAAAAACGCGTCCATTGTTTAATCCCAGACCTTCCAATAAAAAACATAATCGCCTCATTTCAGTTGCCGTATTTCTCCCTCTGTAAAATTTCTTCTTTTTTTTACTATAAATTTTAATATGCCTAAAGAAGCTCCCACTAAGGTTAGTAAGCGTGCCTCCCCTGACGATAAGAAGAAGCGCGGAAAGAAAGATCCAAACGCCCCCAAGCGTGCCTTGTCTGCATACATGTTCTTCTCTCAAGCCAATCGCGAAAAAGTCATTAAGGAGAACCCAGGTGCTAAGTTCGGTAAGGATTTACTTTACGATTCATAATCAGTTCATCTGATTTTATTTTTTTACAAGGTGAAATTGGTAAGATCCTTGGTGCCAGATGGAAGGAATTGTCTGATGAAGAAAAGAAGGTGTGTAAAGTACTTTGTATATATAACAACTTCTAAACTCTTTGCTTTATAGCCTTTTGTTGAACAAGCTGAAGCTGACAAGAAGCGTTATGAAGAAGAAAAAGCAAAAGCAGGTTAAAAATTTTTTACAGTCGTCTTTTCTCTTTGCATTCTATACATAAAAAAATAACTACTTGCGGCCTAAAGTCCTAAAAGCGCGCTGTCTTTCACCCATTGCCTTGTACCTATTTTTCTCTTGTCTTTTAGCATCTTCTGGTGTAGGTTGATAATTTGATTTTAGTATACGGCGAATAGCTTCTCCTGATATTTTGAACTCTTGGGACAGCTTTGTTATGTTGTAATCAGGCTACTTCTAATATATATAAAACATTCTTGTAATGATTGACTGTTTTTACCTGTAATGCACATCTACGAATCTTTTCCATAGTCTCTCTTGACACTCGCTTTTTTGGTAGCCAATTTGGTTTAGCGGGATTAGTATTTGTCACAAAGGTTCTTATTGATCTTGACAAAAGAGATTGTAAGGACATGAAGTAGTTGCTTTAAAAAGGAATTAGAAAAGGAAAGAAAAATACCCTAAAATTGAAACAAGCTTTTCTTTTTTTTTTTAAGAGTCACGAGTCTACATGAACACTATAGTGCATTACAATTGTGCCACTCTTGCTTTTACAATCCTTTATTCAATGTGTTACAAAATGGTCTAAAATCAGTACCATCCATTCATTCTTGTATCAGTGTATCTTAAAGAAGCCTTTCTCTTCTTTCAAAACAGTAGTTCTATTCATTTAAACTATCCTCCTAATAGCCATAGAAACCCTCAATTGGCTGTATGTGTGCTTATTCATGACTTTGTTTATAGTCGTTAAGCCTTTGAATTGAATATGGAACAGATCATTAGCATCTCCCTCCGTATGTGTTATTGGTTCTCTCCAAGTTTATTCAAATCAGCAGCTCTTTCCGATTAATAATGCTTTGTTTTCTTTTAAAAGGTTCAATAACCTAGCTATTCTTTTACTTAGTTTATCCTAATATAGTCTATTGGTGCCTCTACTGACCTTGTTGAGTAAATGGTTTACTTGATCATCACTACACTTGCTTGGGATAAAAGACGTAATTATGATTAATGTCTTTGTGAAGAAAAACAGAATAGACAGTCTTTGTTATTATTATCAACTGTGCCTCTAATGTCATTATCAATAAAGCTTCAAATATCAGAAGCGAAGAATAAAACATGTATTAATAACAAAGGTTGTGTTGATACTTTTTACGACTGAAATATATGCATATATATAGACTATATGCTGTGTATTTAGTTATAGCGATTTATCTCCACGTTGATTCTATAAATGTATGAATGTAAGTTTTATTACAGGCTGTCTCTTTTGATAAAAAGTGAACAAGAAGAAACAAATGCTAGCAAATAGTCACCCCAAAGCCATTCTTTTTTCTTTTGCTTCTCTTACAGCAATCTCCTCTGAGTAACACAATTATCTGCTAAACATATCTCGTGATCCTTTCTTCACCTCTTATAATGCTTCCATAATCCCTCCTTTTCTTTTACTTGCCTATAATGACACTCTTAGTACTAGCCTAAATATTTAGAATAACTATTTATTGTCAAAATAGTCAATCTCGTAAAAAAAAAGAACGGAAAAAGAAACACGTACTTTAACAAATAAATGCTAAATGTGCAGCTATATTAACGGTACAAACGTGTATATATTTTACAAGTGATAGCAAAAAAATATTGATATTAGTAATCCACATGTTTTACGTAAACTAACCGAAACAGTAGCATATCAGCCGCAGTTAGAGTTGTATTGAGCTGACTAACAATAACAAATTGACATATCAAACATTAACCATTTTGAACTACTCGTGTTTCTATTTATAATTCTGTGATTCTCAAACTCTCATATGCGCCCGCTTCTCCGGGAAGGACATGAAAAGGCGATCAATAAGGCGTTATGGCCGATGTTACCTAAAGTTTAGTCTGTGAATAAGCTCCCTGCATGATTAAAAGTAGTCGGAAGGAATAATATTCTTATTTCTACATTACATTTACTCCTTTCTTTTGTATAAAGTGAGATCAGCTCATTGATACGCATAAACATGATGTAATATATGGAATTACCAACAAACTATATCTTTGCTTACAAATACTAGACTAACCGCCAGGAAGATAAGTCATGACAGTCATGTATATATCAAACAAAAACTCACACGGATGTTGCACTCCTCTTGTTTGAACAAAATAACCATGCCCCCTTGTCATTGTTTTTCAACTTGTTTATTTTTGCCTATACATCATCCCCAAGTTCGTCATGAGCATGTACAAGTTTGAAGACCGGCAACTAGGTGATCGTGCGTTACAGAAGACACTTTTATATTGCGTAACCAGACTTGAACAGCACATTAGTCTTAATTTCACAAATACATTGAGCTTCAATTGTACAGTAGGAATCAAGATTATATTTAAATTTATTCATAGTTCATATGTATTTAACAATAGGACTTTTTATTATACAAAATAAATACAGTTTACGTAGATGTTATATATATTTATAAGAATATATAGTTGATTCAGTGAATGAAGAGAATGTACATCAAGTGTATATATATGGGCACGAAAGGAGCGTATAAAAATGAGTGGCTGGGGTACATTGTTGCATAGAAAAGATGGATATATATAGAGAGAGAGATCATAGCTACATAATGTTGGTATATGTACATATATACATGTATATATGTATAAAAGGTTGCATATACTGAGAAAAGAAGAAGGAATGGAAAGTTTCTCTATATCGACTTGTAACTGTTTCGTTTGCTAGCTGAGGCTTTTCGACGTCGATGCTTAAGATCGAGAAATAGTACGCCAGTTGTTGGATAGGTATTTGGAGGGGGCGTTGGTTCTGGTGCAGACTTTGGTTTTGGCGACGAGGATTTTCTTAATTTTGCACGAAGAGCTTCCATTACCTTTTCGTGATCTAACGGCTGTTGTGGTGGTGGAGACTGCTTGGGTCTGTCTGTGTTTAATTCCATGATACTCTCATAAGAAAGTGTGCGATGGATAGATGAGCGAGATTTTCTCTGTGTTGGTTTCGAAGTGACAACAGGTGCAGATGCTGGAAACATTGGTAACTCTGGAGGCGAACTTGGAATGTGACAAAGATCAACAGGTTGCGGCGAAGTAATTGAAACGAATTCAAGCGAGGGAGAGGATGCAGCACTTGTTGTTTCTATCATATTGTAGTGATAATCAGATGAAAACAATGTATTCATCTCTGTAGACAAGGAAGACGAAGGTATGATTTGCTCCGGGAAGTGATCAACATATCCCAACATGCTGGAACCTATAGATAACAAAGTTAATTAAGGCCAATAGATAGTACATAGAGCGAACCTACTTGATTCATGATGCGGATGATGATGAGGATGTATGAACTGGTATTCTAGCATTTTTGCTTGTAGATGCGCTTCCTCTGTTTGACGTAATTCTTCCGCTGTTCTTCGCTAATGGGTACTTAGATCATGTTTCCAAGACCGAAAAATATATGATGTAACCTACCTTCTCTTCTTGCTCTTTCGCTAATAGTATATGCTCGGATAAGTCTGAAGTGGGTTCATAGTGAGCAAGAATGTCTTCTACAGACATGCTGCTGAATGACATTGAAGGGACTGTGTGATGAGGAAGCATTGGATTGTTCCATTGAGACTGTTTAGGAGGCATTTTTATCTACTTTCAGCAGCATACAGCGAAATGAAGAAAAATAAAAGAAAGAAGAAAGAAAAAGCAATTGTATTATTCTTCCTTCTCACAGCGCGCAATTATATATTCACATAAAAAGGGTTAAAAATAAATACAAAATCGGTAGCTTAAAAGCGGCGTGCCAAAGTAATTTAAAATGTACATCATATGCTTTTTGAATTAGAGGGCATGAATTAAGCTCTCATATTTTTTTTTTTTTTTTTTTTTTTTTGCAATTGTACCAAAAAGACAATGACTACCACGTTTTTTGTGACAATCAGGTACAACCTCGAAAAAAAACTTGTTTAATTTTAGAGATACTCGATTATGAGTAATTGAATCCTTTGGTTCATACAAAATTGTAACTTGTATCTTTTGCCATTGAATGAACATAAACTCGTCTTGTATTCAAATATAAAACTATTTGGTTTCTAAGCAACAAATTTCAGATTTTCTGAAAAAGAAAAAAAGATAATACGAAGAAAATTACAAGATCAAAGCGTAAACCCGACTTGCGTGTAAAATAAACAGAAAGTTCAACTTTTTGGGATAAATTAAAAGCTAAAGTTACACCAAAGTTTCAAACATTCAATGAGGTATTCTAAAAATAAACAGACTTTGAATCTCCACTTTGTTTCCCCTTTTTTTCAAAGTTAAAAATAGATTTTTGCCCTTTACGACCTTCAACTAAGAAATTATGGTAGTGGCTGAATACAAGATAGAATGTATCATGTATGATGATATGTGCAGGGTAACTTGAAGACATAAACTACGGGGCCCTGATATTATGTGAACCCTAGTTTCAGACTAGTAATCCTTCTTTTTCTTTCATGTTTGCTTTACCAATGAGATATTAAAAGTTATTTTTAGTGCAAACCTTTCTTTTAGTCTTTTTAAGAAAAAATATGCAAAAGTAGGAAAGGTTGAATCGGAATACATAAAATATATGCATTCACTTGATTCATACCGAATCAATTGTAAGTACAAATACAACAAAGTAGCTTCAAGAGTACATTACTTCAATATCCTTAACCCTGCGTGATGCAAGCAACAGAACCCTGTATTTTATAATCTCTTTACAGGGTTTTATGCAGCCACCTAATTCAACGTTAAACAATAGCCTGCTTTTTGTCCGTGTGATGATGGAGCGCTTTCCATTTATAGACTATCATTGTTCTATATATATCTCGTGTCACAGTTGCACTTGATTTGATGGGGACAGAAAAAGCTTAATCTCCTTATTTATCATTTAGGATGAATACAAAGGAGAAAAATTTACTTGTAATAGTTACTCTAAAAATATAATTATTACGTAAGATCAATGTTTAGCTTACAGCTAAAAATAATTTCCTGGCTTCCTACTTCCCTTTGATAGGGTTTAATCAGATGGAATCATATCAGGTACAAGATACTGTTGCATACATGTAAGAATACACATTCCTGATGATTGCAGGCTTGCTTGAAAAAGAGTGAGCTCTTCTTGTCCTTTGTAGAAATACCAGTTATCAGATTTTGTAAAAGTATCGTTTTGTATGTTATCGCTCCATTTGAGTTTGTCGAGGTCATAATACATCTGATAACCTAGTCTCTCAGAGTTGTAAGCTACTTTGGATTGCTTAAACAGACGTATCACTTTTAAAAAAACAGGCAAAAATGGAAACAGTCGTCCTACAGACGAAAGCTGGTAACCAATAATATACACAATACCTTTACAATGAACGACTCTTTTAAGTTCAATGTCCTTTTGAAAGTCAATTTTTTTTGATTTACCCGAGTAATTAAATAAATACGCAAAGACCATGATGAAGCTGACAGTGATCACCAACTAATTAAGCTGCGCTAGAGTATTTTTGAAGGTCAACTATAATATAGAAAGTGATCGTACGTGAAACCACGCGATGACTGAAAATAACGCACATGACACTGATATAGCTGTACCAGTGGCTAATGGTTGGTATATCTATATCGCATCATTTTTTTTTCAACCAAACCTAAAATACTTATCGTGTCACTTTCCATAATTAGGTTAGCAAAAGGGGGGAAATCAACCCTCTTGATGAGGATGCGGGCATTTGACATTAACTGTGCTCTTTAGAGACATTTTTAGAAACGTCTATCTTGATTAAGGGATTTTAGTTTGTACCCGTCAGTCGTTTTCCCTCACAGCAAATTCTGCTGAAACGCCAAATCTCCCGTTACTGAATAAAAAAGGCAGCGTGATTAAATCAATAAAAGAACAAACAATATCCAGCATTTTGCTTCGAAGCTGTTGTATATTTTTGTACATCAAGAGAACTGGCTTCTCGAAATGATGCTTTTCTTTTTTTT